GGAAAATTGCTACCAGGACGAGGTGGTAATTTGTGAAAGGCCATTGTCAAAAGATGCGTAGTTGGGCTGAGTCTCGGAGTGGCTGATCGCTGCTACGTTGTGGAGAGGAATTGGGCCCCGCTTCCTGCAGCCATTCTGCCGGGGTATCTGGCGCGCTTTTGCGGGGGGTTTTGACGGGGCCGCAACACCTCCCTTTGAAAAGAAAGCGTACCGCTTCTGACGAGGTATGACCTGGAGGCATTTCGGTGACATCCGGATACTTTCTGTTCGTCAGCCAGGTGGGTTCTCCAGACGCGGCGGCAATTTAAAGACTTCGAGCGTTGGCCCCGTTGTGTAGCCATTCCAAAGGTATCCAGCAGGCTGTGCAGCGGCAGGTGCACGGGACGGCTGGCTGGCGTGGAGGTTTCTCCGTGGCGCGGTCGAAGTTGATTGCGATGGCGAACCTTCTTTTCATCACCTACGGAGACCTCATGCAGCATGTCACCTCGTCTGGCCGTTACAGTTGCTTTGATCCAGGGTGGATAATCTGTTCTGTAGGCGCGGGCGTAGACAGGAGCGCCAACGACGAATTCTTTTTGCTTGATGCAGGCACCAAAGTGACTAGGTGGATTCCCAGTCGGAATGAGCGCTTTGTTGGTGGTGCGTAGCTTGCGGCCCATCAATGCTTCGGATGGTGACTGGCCTCCTGGCGTAGTTGGGTTCGGTGTGGATCGGTACGAGAACAGGACGGCTTGAAGGCACTCATCCACTGTCCCCTCCCCGCGAGGTTTCATAAGCGCCCTCTTGAATGTGTCGACAAATCTCTCCGCTTGACCATTAGACTGGGGATGGTAAGGCGGTGAGCGGAGGTGTTCGACGCAGTGTCGGCAACAAAACCCTTCGAAGATGGAAGAGGTAAACTGGGTACCATTGTCGGACACCAAGACCTCGGGAAGGCCATGTTGACTGAAGATGGGTTGGAGACAAGCAAGAGTGACGGATGCGGTTGGGGGTTGTCGGCGACCGCTTCCGGCCATTTGGAATAGGCGTCGACCCCGACCAGATAGGAAATGCCATCGATGGGACCAGCGTAATCGATGTGCACTCGAGACTACGGTTTTGCCGGCGGATGCCAAGGAACAGGTGATTGGTGTTGTGGAATCTTTGAGTCTTGTTGACTATCCTGGAACACGGGGGCGGTTTGACTGGCTTTGTCATCGGTTTGATCGTTTGGTAATGTTGGAGAATCTACCACGTTGCAGATGGCCCGAAGAGGGAGATCGGCCAAGTCAAGCGTTTCTAGCCAGTCGTAACCAAGCATGTTGAGCTTTGCCTTTGTGGTATAGCAGATCGCGTTGAACGTGGCGCCCCTGAAGGAGCCGGATCATTGCTGCTGTCCAGTTAGCTGTTCACGACCACCACAGGTGCTGGTGGCAGATTGGGCGGTCGGTTCAAATGGTGGCTTGCCAAGTGATCGCCAGAGATAATCGGAGACGATCGTGGTGTCCGACGCAGTGTCCAACTGCAATTGGACCGACTGACCATATATCAAGACGTCGACGAACTTGCTCCTATCCGCAGCGTTGCATTGGAACGTGACCAGCAGGCTCTGGGAGCTGCCAACCGGACCAGGTTTAAGTGTGCTTCTGGATCGGGACCTCTTCTTTGGATCGCAGGTGGTGGCCAGCCCAGTTTTGGCCTTTTTGGAAGATGGAGGATGACAGTAACCATGTCGGTGCCCCCTACCACAAGTTTGACAACGATGCTGGCGGAACTTGCAGTCGCGGTGGAAATGCAAGGCACCACAGAATCGGCAGGCTTAGGGTGGGAACTTCGCTCGGTGGGGTTGAGTGGCGTGCGCGGAAGGTTGCACCCACGTTGCTGTGACTGCCTGGACAATACCAGATGCGGCGGTGTTCTGGACCATTGCAGTATCGTGCTTCAGGTTGAGCAGCGTTTGAAATAATTCGGCTAGGTTCAGGAGTGTGACTGAGCCATCTTGTTGTAGCTTGGACAGGAGGCGCGCCCGGATTTCGACATCGTGTGGCGATTAGAGGCCAGCGACGAAGATCAGGCCTTTGAATTGGTCCTCAGTGGGCGAGCCAAGTTGAAAACTTTGGCATTCACGGTTGGCTACGCCCGCGTACGTGCTGAAGTCGTCGGCATCACGTTTGGCCAGCTGCAGACGCTGATAACGAGCATTGAACAGAGAGGACTGCTCGACAGAAATCTGTGACAACGTTCGGACCGTCTAGTCAAAGGTACGGTCACGTGAGTTTCTCGGCAAGATGAAATTGGTGTAGCCCACTTGTTCGAGTGTACCAAGTTTGCTAAGAAGCAGCCGGACGTTCCACGCGTCGTCCTGAAAAGCAAAGTCAACGGCAAGCAGGTACTCGTACCGCTTGTACTAAGGTTCGCACGGCACCCGGGCATTGGAGTCATACAGGAGTTCGCTGATGCCGATAAGTACATGGTCCATTGACAAAGAATTGGCGCTTGGATCTACATGAAGAAAGAAATGGAGAGCTTTTCATTTATAATGGATATTAAAAAGATTTGCTGCAGCATCAGTTTTAAATTGGCACATTCGTCAGTCATGGTTCGACAACTCTGTCGCCGCAGCTATCATTGAGGGGACGCCTTTTGGTATGATTGTGTAATTGCTTGATAAGATTGTCGTTGGCACGGTTGGAGCACGCCTACGCTAAAGCCTCGTAACGTTGGCCAATCGAAGGGAGTTGCGCTGACCTGATGATATTAGCTTAGCCGGTGCGACGGAATCCGAGCGAGCGTGTGAACGATCCTAGCCGCACGCGTTCGGATAGACTCTGAGACCTCGGAACGGACGCATACGGAAGGGGTTAAGATAGACACGCGCTAATGAGTTAGACGCGAAGGCTGGCCTGCTGCCGGATCACCCGCAATCACGTGACCCCACCGAGTCCCAATTAGGCCGAAGAGGCAAGAAACACAGGCGGTCCTCTGTAGGCTCCTTTACGACCAACAAAGAGCGAATCACAGCCAAAGATATAGGTCATTAAGTGAGGGAAAATTGCTACCAGGACGAGGTGGTAATTTGTGAAAGGCCATTGTCAAAAGATGCGTAGTTGGGCTGAGTCTCGGAGTGGCTGATCGCTGCTACGTTGTGGAGAGGAATTGGGCCCTGCTCCCCACAGCCATTCTGCCGGGGTATCTGGCGCTTTTTGCGGGGATATTTGCCGGGCCCGCAACAGCAACTATTTGTCCGATTGTTAAAAGCGGTGACAGCGCTCTGCCCGCGTGCTACTACCCTGTCAGTTGGTCAAGCGTTGTAGTCTATATGTTTGAAATGCCTATAAGGTATTCAGTAGAGAACCACCTGAATATCTTTAACCTTCTCAATGTAGAAAGCGTGGCTTCAGAATAGGATTTTTATGTCAGGTTAATCTACTTGTAGCTTGTGAAAACTGGGCCGAAGTGGTAGAGAGTGGCCAGGCTTTAGACGTGTTACTAGTGGACTTTTCGGATGGTTTTGACACCTTTTTTCTGCTTAAGTCCTCACTAAAGTTGGGCTTTTACGGTTTATCTGGTGGCGCTTTTCAATGGATGGCTTCTTTCCTTAAGGGGAGGGAAAGATGAGTACCGGCGAAGGGTAGCCTTTCGCTCGGGCAAGCTGTCCTTAGATGCATCCCACAAGGCTCAATATTGGAGCACCTGTTGAGCGCGATATATGTAAAAGACTTGCTGGGGAGCTAGGTGAATCATTACTAATGTTTGCTGACTACCTTAATCTTTGGAATATTGTGTGTATCCCTTGGGTTTCTGAGGCAATCCTGCGTGACTTGGATAGGCTCTGGGAATGGTCTATCTTGTGGTTGATGCACGTACAAAGGACCAAGTGCTATATTCTCCGCAACTGAATTGCTAATCCTTCCACCCGATTTGTTGCCGGCGGTGGTGATATCACGGTCGTCACTCCGCAGTTTGATTTAGAGGCCTACACTCATCAGAAATTCAGTCGGCGACAACTGGAAGAAGGCTGCTTGTCGGGGACCTCGTATGATGTGGATTATCGGCCGCTTGTCCGAAATGCTAACGGCCAACTCGTTAACCTCATCAAGGCATTCGTCACACCTCACCTGAAGTATTGTATCCTGGCTTGTCCACCATGTCTTATCCGAGACAAAATTGATTTGCAGTGGGTGTTGTGATTGGGCAAGCGGTGAGTGCAGGGTCTACGTGGACAGACGTATCCTGTACGGTTGATCAGTTTGCGGAGGAACCCATTACACTACGAAAAGCCAAGTGGGGACCTGGTTCTTATTTATCGTATTTTTGACGGGTTTGATCGGCCCGGAATTGTAATGCCTATTTATTCCAGTGACCTTAACTAGTCTCCGCGGTCACCCACTGAAACTACATAAACCAAGGTCTGCTAGGATTAGGATGGAAAATCTGCTGTCGCACTGAGTTATAGAGCGCTGGGATTCGCTTATATATCACGTGGTTAGGGAACCTACGGTTAAGGGGTTTGCGCGCCAACTTGAAAACCATAGATGATATCACCAAACCTTCCTTTTTCCCAACTGACTCACACGAATTGTATATATTTTAAAGCAAATAACGGTATTCTACTTGCAAAACACTTTACTTTTCCTTTTGCCTATTGAGTTTACCTTTTCCTCTTTCTTAGTTACGTAACCGGCAAATCAGGGACGGCTAGGGCAGGATACGTGGGCATTAATTTGTTGGACAGGGTTTGATATGATCTCACATTTGTACTTTAACAGTGTTTCAAATTCTGGCAACTGGTACGATGACCCGCTAAAGAAGGAACACCCACTGGATAATCCTATCATTCCAGTCCCGCTGAACTTGAACTGGAATTTTTGGTTCCCGTCAGAAAGTTGTTCCACTGACTTTTTCAGACCAAAATATGACGATAAAGAAAAATATCTTTGTCGGAATCCAAACATTTGGCAGACAACTGGGCTATCAGATCCCTCTGGTTTACTTGATCTAATACTAGCGTTACATAATTTGAATTTCATCGACCTTGACGGTTTACGACCTTGTAATTTTAGTACAACCCTTGCAGATGCAGGACCGCTTTTTGAAGATATTGCGGGCGATGGTGGCTTTCGATGAAAATCGGTTTTGCTTTGATTGCCACCAAAGAGGACCTACGTATGTCAATATCACTATTGGTTCATTTGTTTGCACTGGATGTGGGGGCGCACTGTAAGTGGAGCAACTTTCCATTACGTTTGCTAGTCGAAAATACAGCCACCGTGTAAAATCGATGTCCATGTCTAACTTCTCACCTGCAGAAATGGAATTTTTGCGTCGCAGGGGTAATAAGGTAACAGTGGCATGAGTCTTTCATTATAGGCGTGCCGGAAAATTTTTCTTGCTCTTAGCGACGATCAGTCTCTCGATGAGCGAGAACTTAGTGATGCAGCCCGGGATGACTACTTGCGTGAAAAGTACCAGCTGCGTAAATGGTGGGTTGTCGTGGCTTCCACTGCGTGCACTTTATTTCCCTCTGATGTATATTTATTTGTTACGATCATGACCCAGTTTTCTGACTCTGTTTCTACTATTACGACTTAACGTTACTGAAGTTATTTCTCTGATTACTGCCTAGGTCTAAGGTAATCAAGATGCTTGGAAGTGTTGGCACGCATCCGTCATCAGTCATTGCACTCGGCTTGACAGGCCCGCTTCCCCCCGCGTTCTCAACTGCCCTATGGTGATTCATAAACATTAGCTTGGTTAATCCGTTGCCTACTAACCTTTCCTTGTTCTAGTACAAAACGTCGTCTGATGCTTGAAGTCTGCAACCATTATGCTGTAACCGCGGTTACCAATGTAACCTTCACTTTTCTACAGTTGTTCCTTTCCCTTCTCTTGGCTAACACCCACCCTCATCTTTCTTTTCACCCCTTTTCTTTATGCATTAGTATTATACTGTTATTTGTAATGACTTTTATTTTGTGCTTACGATTTCTCTTGCTACCGCAGAAGAGTGTTTTGGTGCCCACCAGCCATGAACGCAAATCGATCACAACGCAATCAGTTACCGCTGGAGAGGCTGCTTCCAAAACTGTCGCTCAATTTGGAGAACGAGCCTTGACTCTGATCACGCTGTTGTGTGTGACGACCTTCGGCTGCGTTTTAGCTGACGTGCGCAACGTCTCTGTAAGCGCGTAGACACCAGCTAACTGGCGAAGCTAGCTTTTCTGAGTACGTACTACAGTACGCTGACGTCTGGGAGGAGTAAGCGATAAGTGAACACCGTTGAAGATTACTAGTCGCATATCCGTCAAACTTTACTTCCAGCAGGTATGTCTACATGCGGAAATCAAGTTGTCCATCTGGACATTAGATCTATACATCATCTCTGGAACTTATGGTTGCTCGCCGACGTATTCCGGCTGGAAGTGAACATGGACCAACAAATAGGACAAAACTACTTGCTAGCCTGAAGAGCGGCCGCAAAACATGGTGGTCTCATTGTGCATCGGAAATGTAAACAACCGCTGCCGTTAACCATCCTGTTATTCTGTCTGATATGGAAAACAGGTGACGTGGTGTTAGCGAGATCATAAGTGACGAGAGGAGACAGCCGATCCGCAGCTTGTCAAAACGCTTGGAGCGTTAGGCCCAACACTGAGAAGCAATTTACTCAGAGTTATCAGCTTCTCCATCTGTCATTGACCGCCCTACTCCTTGGACCGTCTCCCTGGATACATCCTCGCACGCAGAAATGTAACGTGCGATGAGACGGTTACAATTGAATAAGGCCGCTGAGGCAGCTAAAGTTCCTCCAGTCCACTTCAAATTCGGCGGACCTGCTCTTGCAAATGATTTCCACGAGTTACTAGTGAAACTATTGGATCAGGAAACGGACTGGAGCCACTCTGTCATAGTTCTAATTTTCGAAGGAGGCTCCCGTTTGCAATGCCTTAATCAGAGAGATCAGTCTGATTTCAGTTGCTTCTAGGTTGCTTGCGTCTTTCGTTCTCCGTAGACTGGCACTCATGAAAGTCAGATTCACGTGGATCAAGCCGGGTTTCTTCGAAATCGAGGCTGCATCCACCGCATCACTGCTTTACTACAATTGTTGGGGCACCACCATATTGACGACCTATCGCTGTCATGTTTCTCGACATCAAAGATGCTTTCGGTTCCGTGAATCGATGTGACCTTTGGGATTGTCAGCTTAGAATAGGTATGCCAGATAAATACATAAACATTATCAGGGCATTGTACGCGCATAATTCGGGTAGAATGTAGGTTTATGGCAAACTGTCGCTGGCCTTCAATATCTCTAGCTAGGTGAGACTAGGTTGCCCACTGCCACCTTTCCTCTTTAACTTCACCATTGACAAAGTTATGGACACAGCATTCGCTGGGCACGACTTACATGGTGGGGAGTTGTTTCCTGGTTAGCAACTCCTTGGAGTATGCGGGCGATATTGTCCGTATCTGACAGCTCCCAAATGTGCCAAGCAGAAGGGGACCGATTAACACCGACCGTCATTCCTTTTCGGTAATGCAATGTCCTTCTTCAAGATTGGCAGAAAACCACCTGTGCCCTGACCCTTGGTGGTATCCGGTTAGAACTCATTCCCAGAAAAACAGAAAGCCATCATCAGTACGCAGTACCGACGCTTCGCTGTCGCGTGACCACCACCATTTGCACGTAGGCTAAGGATACTGCAAGAGTCGCCCGGTCCCTACGCATGCTCGAAGGCGCACCGCTAGATTTCTAGACAACCTCGTTAACTTTAGGCTGCAGGCCGGCTATAAATGGTGAGAGCAAGGAGGAATTCAGACAGAAACGGAACGATTAAATGCTACGATTTACTTTCGAATATTCAACTCAACTGGAGCCCCTAGAAGATAACTGGCCATCGTTCAATGTACGCCACCCGAACAGAAAACAAAGGCAAAAGGTTGAATGAATTGCTTCCGAAAGTGCGCTGCTCACAAAAGTCAATCGGCTAGTGATCGTGGTGATAGCCGCCAACATTATGTGCCGGGTTCCAATCCCAGCTCAGGCTCTCTACCTGATGAGTCCAAACCGGGATGAAACGCCTCGTTGAGTGTATGGATAGGAGAGGAACGCCGAAATCCTCCATTTCGGTGACGGTCCTAGTGATCGTGTTAGCAGATGCTAAAGTTAACCGAGGATGCAAATGAGATTACCTGTCGCCATCCAAACACACACGCTAAGTGCTCCAAGTCCAAATGCCAAGACGATTTCCTGTTGTTAACGGTGCGAGATCAGTTGGAAGTGCGTGAGGAATTAACTTTCTGCCTCCATCCACTGCATTTCCAGAGGTATTCTGAGGCTTCTAGGTCTTATTACCAGTTCTCAAACAGCCTATGCAGTGTTGCCAAGTTAAAACGAGACAACCGTTAGCTCTGCAACCTAGAATGAGATCAGTGACTACTCCAATGGATGTTGTTGCTCGTCTCTTACCCCAAGTTATGACACGCAGGAGATTCTCAAAAGCGCACCAAGTCGGTGTACCGACGCTCCACTGCAACACAACCAATAGCCAATGCATTCGAATGGGGATACTATGAGGCCGGTCTGTAGCCTAAAAGTAACGGGCTGGTCTTGTAGTCTGACAGCGCGGTTTCGAGCCTGGTTAGGCGTAGTGTGACCCTCGCATCGTCATCAACAACAGTATACTAGCCATTTGAACTAATGCTTCGCTACCATACAACCATGATGGCCTATGGGATAAAGAGTAATAAGAGGGAGAGAAGGAGGTCTTACCTGAAAGCCTTAACACTATAAACAAACATTCAGGGTCAAGGCGCCTTACGTTAGCAGCATACCGTCACAAACAGCTTGCTTTCGTTCAAAGCTAAGGCGGCATCGGTGTGACAAATTCTTTGCGGCTTTCACTGTCACGCGTTATAACTAACCATTACCCTGCAGATAACAGCACCAAACACACTTTAAACAGGCAGTCCGACTGGGAGACGGCCGCAGACGCGCTACTGGTGTCCGTCGCGAGCCATGTCCTGTAAACTCTCGAGCCAAGCACAAGGCCAATCACGTGGACTCCAGCCCGGAAGGCGAGACGGACCAACGGCACCCAGTTGGGTCGTCAGTGTTTTCATTTCTCGCTGCCAAGTCAACTTCTGTCCACCTCGAGCCTTGCACCACCCTACACTTGGTAGACTGAACAAGGTCCTCCTAGGTAAGAGGTGACAAGGCATATGTAGCACGTGCTCGAGCCCACGCAACTTATTCAGTGCTCTCGATTGTTCTAAGAAGCTAGCATGATTCTCATCACATAGTACTCGTCTACATACATTGTTGCGGACACGATGGTGCCATCCGACATCAGCAATGCTTCGCAGACAACGATGATCAAAGACTTTAAGTCGCCCCAGATTTTCAGACCGAAGGGGCCAAGTCTCACTACCATATGGCAGGACGGCTCTCACTATGGCCTTGTATACACGCTTTTTCAGATGGAGGGAAATTCCCTTCTGTAGCCAAAGATGTCGCAGGTTCAAGAAGGCAGTTCTAGCCTTTGCATTGTGTGAACTCACTTCAGTTTCTGTGCGCCCATCGTTGCTGATTCAGTTGCTAAGTTAAGTGTATCGACCAACCAGCTCGAGTTCCTCGTTAACAAGGATCCAGGAGATATAAATTGGCAGGTGGTCCTGCAGCAACCCTTTGCACTTTGAAGATGCGAAACGTATACCAAATAATGGGACCGCTCCGGAAAGACTATTCAACGTTGATTGTGCCGCCGTAACATAGTCGAAAAGCAAGACAATATTGTCTGCATAATCAAGATCAACTAACCTTTCACCAGACAGGATCTCAACTCCTACATCGTGGGATTCGGTAAAGGAACACTATGATAGAGTCCAGGACGAAATTGAACAAAAATGGGGAAATCGGACAACCCTGACGAACGCCACTTGTGGTCGGACAGGCTTTTGAGCCAAAGGCTTTGGATGAGGACCCCAATCGTCCTCCTTTCAAGGTCTGGGCGCCCTGGCACTATCTCAGCCCACATACAACCATGACATTTTCTTCAAACATAAACTTCATCCTGCATCGGCCGTCGCGCAGATTATCAGGTGTCGCCTTATCTGCTGTATACAGCAGGGCGGATAACCGAAAACATGATACTGCTGGTGCCTCCCTTCTTTCTTTTCCACCTTCTCTTACTCCCATCCCGGCCCCCATCACTAACCTTCCTTCCATAATTCCCAGCTTAATTGACAGCAACCGAAGTGCCACTGGAGTAGAACCATCTGCAGCCACCATCCCACCACACCTATCGGACGCCTATCGTCAAAAGTCCCTTTTAAGGCCACGCTATCCCGTTTCCATGGCGACATTCAATGTTCGCACTCTAAGACAAACAGGTCAACAGGCTGCACTCGCACCTTGGACACACTGGGTATTGATGTGTGTTGTGTGTCCGAAACTAGGATCAATGACTCTGACGGGGTTATT